AAAGGATAAAACACACAGCCTGTTAAAAGTAGCTTAAATTCATGTAATGATGGAAACACAGTCAGCTTTAGAATGCTCTGTAGATTATTCCATGCCAAAGTAGCATTATATCCAAAACCCTTTTTTCCTAGCTCTGTTCGAACCCGAGGGACTTTAAAATATAACAGATCGTTTGAGCGTAGTTTGTAGCGTACCTTTGATTTAGAAAAACTCAGAGACAAATAAGATGGAGTTAGACCACAAATAGACTTATAAATAAAACAATACCAATTAAAACTTCTTTGGGTATACAACAATGGTAACTCAGCCTTCTCATATAAAGTACAATGATGTGTTTGATAACTACAACCTGTAATAAAACGTAAAACACTATGAAAAACAGGATCAAGTTTTTTTAGATAATATCCTGGGACATTCATATACAGCAGATCACCATAATCCAAAAGTGGTAAGAAGGTAGCAGATACCAAATATTTCCTTGCTTTAAAAGAAAATAAATATCTATTTCTGTAGTAAAACCTCAATTTGAACATAAGTTTTGAAATTAATTTATCAATATGTAGCTTAAAAGTTAACTGACTTTCAAATAGGATGCCCAGGTACTTATAACTTACAACATATTAAATTTTTGTTCCCTGGGAGGATATAATGTCAGGAAGATTACTTGGTACAACTTTAGAATGTGAAAAAATCATTAAACTAGTTTTATCTGTTTAAAACCAGCTTAAGCTGACATAAACGGAACTGAACAGTATCAAACACTGACTGTAAATAATGAAGTGCTTGTGAAGCTGATGGAACACAGCAGTAAATAGCAGTGTCGTCTGCATACAGATGGAACTTCGCATTTGGAATGTTATCGCATAAATTATTTATATACAAGGAAAATAAAATAGGTCCTAGAACAGACCCCTGAGGGACACCTTTGGAAAGTGACAAAATAGATGAAGTACAGTCTTTTAAAAGCACACACTGTGTTCGCCCTGAAAGATAGTTGGAAAACCATTTAATGACATTTTCAGAGAGACCAACAATGGAGAGTCTATTTAGGAGTATGCCATGATCAACTGTGTCAAAAGCCTTTGATAAGTCAAGAAAAAGAGCTGAACAAATTTTTTTTTTGCAATCTAAGGCATCAATAATGTCACTAAACACTTTCAAAGCAGCAGTGACAGTAATATGCTGCTTTCTAAATCCAGATTGAAAAGGAGAAAGAATATTATTTATTTCCAGAAAAGATTTTAATTGTTCGTTTAATAATTTCTCCAAAATCTTGGATAAAACACATAGTTTAGATATTGGTCTATGATTGTTCAACTGCAACAATCATAGACCAATCAACAACCCCCCCCCCCCCCCCCCTTTAAAAAGAGGAGAAACAAAAGCAGATTTACAAATCTTAGGGATTTCACAATGGGAAATAGAAAGATTAAATAAAATCAGATGCTAACTTTAAATAAAACGGTTCCAGCTTATCAGGCCCTGCAGGCTTATATGGGTCCAAAAAATTCAAAGCTTTATGGACCTCAGAGACAGAGAGCTGGTTTGTCATGCATGTCACAACTTCATCACGACTTTAAGACTTTGCATAAAAACTACAAGTAAAAGCACTTTACATTGCAGCATGGAGCATTACATCGTGGTGACCAGGGGAGAACATGATTTTAAGAAGGCCCCATAGCAAATTGTGTGCAATGGGCCCAGAATCCCTAGCGATTTCACTGATGGTGACCCTGCTTTTGTAGTTATGTAACCCCGCCAAAATAAGAAACATAAACCATTAATACTGTATATTTTCAAAACTTATGCTTCTCATTCTGCATTTCATAAAAAAGTCAATAGTGAGAGTATAAAACTCTAAACCTTAGAACATAAGCATTATGTGTGTGTTTATGATCCAGTGAACTGAAGACAGTAACCTACATGTCTTGAGACTTTAAATAGTTGCACAAATGGTATGTGCACTTTGTCTCTGTGTGTGTGTGAATAAATGCAAGCGCATGTGGGCATGAGCCGCTGCTTGTCATCACTTGCCCTCATGTCTGCCTCTTGTCCCCCGCTGTCTCCCTCTGTCAATGTTATCACACACTCTTATCAGTGTGGCGGCACCATTTTTCTGAACAAATTCCGGCCCTCCTGCTCCTCTCCCATTCATGGTCCTGCATTCTCAATCACCTCTCATTTGCTTGCCCCTTCTTTTGAAACAGAATAAGCAGTGTATGGGTTTTATATACATTCTTATGCTGTTGGCACCAGGGTTGCACTCTTATTACATTTCTGGCCAATATGGTAAGCTAATAATTATTTTCATGTTGATTGTCAGATTACACAACAGATTTGGGTCAGCATTATATATTTACATTTACATTTATCAGATGCTTTTATCCAAAGCAACTTACAAATGAGGACAATGACATGCAAGTGCTATAACAAGTCTCAGTTAGCTTAATGCAGTACACGTAGCAAGTTTTTTTTTAATCATATAAAAAGAAAATGGATAGAATAGAAAAAGAATAGAGCAAGCTCGTTTTAGAGGCCTTTTTTGCTTTTGTAAATCAGAAGAAGTCAGAAAGTCAGAATTATAATTGTATAATAAATAATAAGAAAACAAATAGAATGCAAAAAGATTTGAGAATTAATCAAGATTATATATATGATATTTAGCATTACATGCACCAGTGAATCATCTGCGGTGAATGGGTGACATCAGAATCAGAGCCCAAACAGTTGATAAAAACATCACAATAATCCACAAGTAATCCACATGACTCCAGTCCATCAAATGACATCTTGTGAAGTTAAAAGCTGTGTGTTTGTTATAAATAAATCCATTACAATGTTTTAACTGTTTTTGCTTTTGGCAAAAATACCCGCCCATAATCCATAAAAATGCTTCCAGGGTGGAAAAAGTCCATACCCTATTGTCCTCTCACATCAAAATCCACTGACATATTTGTTTACATAACTTTTTTGGACTATTTTTACTTGTAAACTGTGCTTGATTTCTCTCCTGATTCAGACAAGACGACTTTTTCCCTGGAGAAAGCAATATTATGAACCCCAGACCTGATTAATGCAAAGTTCTAAGATGAGTCTGATATGTGACTAACATTAGTGCTTGTGCAATTTTTTCTTTAATAGCGACTGTTTGCCAGGGTGACAAGCCAAGAAATGTAAGTTGACAACCTGCCTCTTTTGCTAGTTGCTATAATAGCGGTTTATGCCTCATGTTGGTGCGTAATCCTCCGCTGTCATTCTTCTCTACCGCTTTGCTGTGCATCACTTTTCCTGCTTCTGTTACCATGAGAACCGAAGACAGAGCTGAAATTTTTGCTGTCACCATTCTGAGATAACCCCAAGTGGTCCATATGCATGTCCCACTTCAAACCAGCTGGGGGCAATCAATTTTTACATCAAAACTTAATATGACATGAGATTAGAGTCTAAATGTTTCATGCATCTTCTTACTGATTTAGAACTGTTAGCTTCAACATCACCAAAAATCCTTAGTGTCCAGACACTGTTTTCTCAAATATTCATAACTCATTTCTAAAAACACTGATCAGCATTCGTTGTGAGTGATGATGATGGCGTATCTAGTGTTGAAACTCCAACATCAGCAATAGCAGACTCACTCGAATGCTCCCACCAAAAATCCATCATTTACCCTGTAAGTGAGTGGCACTCTTGGGCCTCATGCACCACCCCAACACCTCTATTGCAATGTGTGTGAGAATGCACACAGGCAACACATCCATATTTCAAATTCATATCCACATAATATTTGGTTACATAGAATGATTGCACTAATCATTTGGATGCTGATAAAAGCAGTATAATGTCAAAGATTCATGCTGATTGCTATTACTAGCATTTGAATAGTATATTTGAAATTTTTGTTGACACATCAGTAAACAGCATCCCTCTCAGGCATCTTGGGTTTATGTGCCTTGCTCAAGGACACATTGGCAGTAGTCTCGGCCTCAGTCTGACCATTTACTGACCAGCTGATGCAGATTGCACATAAAACTGGAATGCACTTTTTCAGTCTTGTAAACTCTAATCTGATTGTCCTTAGGCAATTTCAAACAATAAAGGCACACTTCTAATCAGTCTACCTGAAAACAAAGTTGTTTAAACTGGTTGATACACTACATGCTTTTGATGATATAATAATGTCTGGTTTTGCCTGACATCAAATATTAAAGTTAATTGCAATTATTTTTCCACAGATATATCTCCCAGGGTTATTAGTTAACTAAAACAAAAACAAAAAGAATAAAAATATATAAACATTTAAAAAACAAAAAAAAGAGACAAAAACAGCAAAATTAGTCAAACTTTAACAAAAGATACAATTAAAACAGAAAATATATATATTTTTAACCATTTCAGGTTACACTTTATTTCGATAGTCCACTTTAGACATTCTACTAACTATAAGTAACTTTGTAACTACATGTCAACTACATGTCAACTAATTCTCATTCATTTGCAACTACATGTCTACTAACTCTCAGAGTAGACTGTTAGGGTAGGTTTAGGGTTAGTAGAATGTTGACAAAGAAAGTGTTAGATATTAAGCAGACAGTCTACTAATATTCTACTAACTGCTAGTTGACATGTAGTTGCAAAGTTACTTACTGCTAATAGAATGTCTAAAGTGGACTATCGAAATAAAGTGTTACCCTATTTCAAAATATGAATGAAAACAGTATCTCAGTGATACGAAAATAACACGTTAAAAAAGGCCTTAAATTCTCTATAATCACAGTAAAGTCACAGCCTGCTCTCTCAACATTTTATGTATCAATAAATGTAATGAACTAGAGCTAATAAATTTGTCCAAACAAGAAAGCTTAGATATAAAGCTCTATAATTAAGACTAATAAATCATAAACAATTATTAAATGTTTCTGAGCGAAGACAACTTCCTGACGTCAGATTCCGATAAATAAAACACGCTCGTTATTTTAACGCGCTCTTCTTTGACGCACTACGGTAAAGGGTGGACTTTTGTTGTCTGCTGGAGCTGGAGACAGACAGCTGAGAGTGAAACAGCCGTGTGTGTGTGTGTGTGTGTGTTTAGTGCTTGAAATTCAGACGCGCTGCGCGGCGTCTCGTCCCGAAACCCAAGACGACAACCAAGAAGAGTCACTTGGATTACTGTCAGCAGGTCCAAAGCCCGAACACATTTGTTTTTCCCCCCCAAGAAAGCTGTTAGGGCACAGGCAAAAACATCGCATTTTCACCTTTTAAAAGCAGCAGTCTTCTCGGAAGGGGCCGCACCTTAAGCTGAACATCATCCAGGTAGGTTTATGAGAAAGTTCATGTGCTGTATCGAAGACCATTGCACCAGTCACCCCAACAAAACGCTAGAGAAAGAAAGGGGTCATTTAAAAGTGTGTTGTTTTAATGTGCGATTATATTGTGATTGAATTGTGTACATCATTTACTCCTTTGATCAACTTTTTGTGCAGCAGCATCCCACACGCTATGGTTATTTAAACAGTTGCATTGTCTGAAGTGAGTGTGTTTGAAGGATATAGTTTAGAGGAGAAATGCGTCTTCAGACTCAGTATTGCTAATTAAACTGTTGTGCGCTGGATTGGTTCATTCAGATGCTCATTTCAGACGTTTACGTGTGCTTATGCTCAGGTCTTTAGATGAAAATTCTGTTTATGCTATGCATTGACTTATCATTGGTATTAATATACGTATTATACTTGGTATTATTAATAATAGTATTTTTATTTATTTAATTATTTTTACATGAATACTTAATTCTAATTGGTCAATGCGTCACTGAGCAGTCAAATACTTTCTATGTATTTATATCCATATTTTTTATTCCCTGCCATCAGAGAAGTGTTACAGAGTACTGTTGTGTAAAGATAACCAGTACAAAGTTGTTGTTTTTTCATACCAGTATCAATGAATATTTTCAATTGTTAGGTTGGATAATGATGGGAGTAATTTTCTGCTGTACTGATTTTTTTTTTTTTAAATGCTAATTTTTATTGTATTGCATTGTAAGACAAATTTCCTTAAAAAGGACAATGAAGTATAATCAACGAACTGGATATTTCACCATTACCCATGGCAAAATACTGGCTCTAGTTTCATATCACAATATCAAAACAAAAGTTAGAACAGTTCATTTACGCCAAAAACAGTAACTACAACTATACCCTATAATACAAATGGCCTCTAATGACTGTTAAAAATGTTCTATATACGCTGCACATAAAACTTTTCATTGATAAATAAGCTCAGAAGTCCTCAGAGAGAAGAGCTAGAAGAGAGAAAACCTCAAATATGTCAGCTAACCAGTCTGTATGAGAAGTAACTTGAAGATTAATGATATGTTCATTAATATTGGTGCAGTGTTGGTCTTCTTGCTAGGCTAATTGTTTTCTATGTTGTGATTGGTCATTTGACAGGCATTCATTAATTGTTTTCTAGGGTCATATTCAAGTAGCCCAACTCAACTCACCTTGATCAATGGCTAAGTCAGTGTCTGAATTTACTCTCTTAATTCGGTTCACTCCTTGCTGATATTGTGCACTCTACCACAATATACCATGTAGGGATTAGTGAATGAGTGAACGATTTTCAGACTGTTTATGTCACTCAATCTAGAGAGTTGCATTTTGGATTTCAGAGGCGTGTTCCAGGTTGGCTCAGCTGACTCATCTTATGCCTAAAAAAAGCTGTCTAGGTAGACAGATCAGTAGATTTTGAGACGTAACCAGAGGCAAAACAAAGACCTCTGTTCCTGGATATGTTCCCACTTACTGTCCTTATTTTCACACGAATGTCTAAGTATGGAAAATAATTGCCTTGCACCTTGTCTTGTGGGCAATTAATTAAATTGAAACAGTGTCTTTTGAATGTGCTGCATGCTGATAAAGGACAGCGTTTAATCTGAGCCTTATCTCTCTGAGCATAAACAGCTTCACTAAAGCTCATAATAAATTAGTCTGCAAATCCTCCACGGCTGTAGAGAACACAGAAAGTAAAAAAAAAAAATGTATCGGTCAATGTGATAGCTTATTACTGCGATTGGTGTTATCGTAGGTAAACTGCTTTTGAGCACAATAAAGATTAAGATGGATAAACGCCTATTAACCTATAACCCCTTTACACTGAACCAGACTCTGCTGATTTAATGCTTGATAGAGATTGAATGAAGCCCATTAGATAAATGTCAGTCTTGTCACTGGAGTCAACTGTAGAGGTTACCCTTCTTTTAACCTTTGTTTGCAGTATTTTCAGTCTAGCATTTTCTAACAGAAACATTAATATGCTATAATTGTATTTAGAAATTACATTGGTAAGCAGTCAAACCATGTTTGCATAAGACAGCAAGTATTAGAATTAGCACTTTATTTTAGTATATGAGGTCTGGCAGAACCTCATAATAAATCTGACATGATGAGTTGGACGTTCAGCCTGTCAAGCCCTCGGTTTTAGTTCAAAAAGTTTGTCTTCCATCCTTTTCTTCATTTGTGTCTCGTTTGCGTCCATAAAGCTGTAACATTGAATTTTAGCACTGAAGGGGGGTGGATGTTTCTCTAAATCTGGGCTCTTGTCCTGCTGACCTAGGCTGACCTAGGCTTTCTCCAGTATAATCCAACTCATGTAATTAAACACAATATGATTAGTGGGCAGAACAGATACTGTTGCTGTGGAGGTGCGCACACACACACACACTGTATATATGTGGTGGAATTTAAAGGGGTCCTATTATGCTCTTTTACAAAGTCTTGATTTTGTTTTGGGGGTGTAAGATCTGCATGTTTTGCATGTCTCTCTTTGTTAAAATACCTGATTCAGATCATCTCGTTAGAAGTGAGCTCCGTGCATGAACTGTGTTCCAATTGACATGGTCCCTACACAGTGTCCATTGCTCCCTACTCCCTGAGCAGGTGAAATCCGTTGAAGTTTACTTCACTTCGGAATATTCATTTACAGATTTGCGCTGCGCCGCTGCCTGCAGCGTTTTCACACACAAACGAAACTTACTAGAGAAGCGTGAAGTGGGACATAATATACCTCTGTAAATAAATACAATTTAAATTCACGTCTCGCACACTTAAATGCCCTTTGTATGAAGCATATACGCTCCCTTCAAACTGGAATCATGGCGGAATATCCTGTAATGTCCACTTCGCAGGGCACTTGCAGTCAAATATAACAAACGTATATAGCAATAAGAGAAACACACAAAATGTACAGAGCGGGGGTACGCGAGGACTGGAAATGAGAACCGCTGTTCTAGACCTGCCAAAAATTTTAGGCTACAGCACAGCAGCACTTCTTCTTGGTTTTCTCTGATGCACTAACTCTGCAGCAGCACTTCTTCATCGTCTCGTCTCATGCACTCACTCAACCAAGCTTCTAACCACAACCGCGCCCCTCCCCGCCCCCCCAACCATTCGAATTTCTGTAAGCGGGAATTATTTGTAATGATATTCCAATGAGCCGCTTTGTGATATCACAAACCCCGGAAACCAAACGCTGTAGTCCAAACGAGCCATTTGCTGTAGTTCTTGAAAATGGATTTTTAAAAAACGAAATATCTCCCTTTGGAGTGGACTTTGAGATTTGTAACTTTCTAGATCTTTTTTATGCCCAAACATACACACTACACACTGACTAAAATTTCAAAAGTGAAAAAGCATAATAGGACCCCTTTAATACTTGCCTCTTTGGCAGTGTGAGTGTGTTTGTATATATGTGTGTATGCATAAGTGCATTTCCACTGGCAGTTCGTTGATGGCTTTCAAAGAATTCAGTCTCTATGCACAGGCATTAATACACATGCCATGACTGGAGAGATCGGCGCCATCCAAGAGAGCATGCTGTATGACCTGACCAGAAGCTGCTAAAAAAGACATAACAGGACAAGATTCCAGTCAAGAGAGATGAATAGCCTTAGAAGTACTGGCAGTCAATTTCCAGTGGTTTTGTAATGGGGTCTATTACAATGCTCTTTAAATTTTTTGTGGGTTTTGTAGCGTGTATAGTCACCTGAGTCATAGATGTTATCCAAACATCTGTCCTTGTGTGTGTGTGTGTGTGTGTGTGTGTGTGTGTGTGTGTGTGTGTGTGCGTGCACTTCTGCATTTTGTCTGAAGGTTGCAGTTGACAGCGGAGCAGTGTGGGAGTCGGCTGGTTTTGGTCGGCTGGCTCACAGTCTGAAAGAGAGAGAGAGAGATGAACGCTCTGTAATTAGCACCCGCGGCTGCATGCTGCATTCCACCTCTGTAAATTACAGAGTGGCCTGCCTGCACTGCCAGACCCAGCAAACCTGCCTGTGTGAGTGTATCCAGACCTCCCTCTTCCCCTCCCTCGGCCTCACGCACACGCAAAACGACGACTTTACCTGCTAGCAACAGACTTTGCCTTCTCTTCCAGTTCACTTCCACTGTGTTTGTTTCTGCGCTGCAGTAATTGGCGGTGGTGGATGCTCTGTCTCTCCGGGGCTCGGCCTGCATTGATTTGTTTGGATTTCTGCTCCCCTCCCCAGAGCTTTGGCGTGCATACGCACCACAGACTCCCTACACTGCTGTCTGTCATGTCTGAGCGGCATATTTAAAGAGTTTGGTGTTTATCGAACTGCACGTACACTGAAATGCACAGTATCTCCATAACACTGTTTTTTTTTTTATTAAGAATTGAAGCGTTGGGATTTGAAAATACACTTTGTTTTGAGGGGTTTAACAGGGATTGTGTGTGTAAAGGTGTCGAAATGTGCTACAGAGCTTTGAGACTGCAAAGAGGTCTTTGCTCGGAGCTTATGAGTGGGTTTAGACAGGGCTGTAACCAACACAGATGTTGAGGACCAGCAATAATCAGATATGGCCATATTGTCCTTACCGCTATTAGAATTTTTTGATGCTGCTCTCTCTGCTGTACTCTGTTATTTCACATACTTTTAAAATGCTGTTAAATGTGCAAATTCTGAAAGTGGAAGAAAAAAACAAAACAAGTCATCTTATAATTTACAGTGAAAACCATCAATTGACATGAGCCAAATTCACTCATATTTGATGGTTTTTCTACAGTTTCTTAAGAGTTTCTTCTTAGTCTTATTAGGTTTTGTTACATCTTATGTTGTTAAATTAATATTTATTGCATTATATTAGTGTCATGTACTATATATCATGTACTATATGTACTGTATGTTTTGTATTTGTGTGTATAACATCATGCACCTTCTTTATATACATTTATCACAGCTTATGGAAAAGCTACTTGTGATGAACTTTGTTCAAAATTAGGCTTTTACTTTATCATCTATA